ATGGAGGAAAGGCCCTTGGGGAGGGGGGGAGGGCAGTCCGTAAGGGGACTGTAACCAAAAAAGGGGGGGGCAATGGAGGGGAGGTGGTGGAGGGCTCCTGTGTCTTATACCATGATACTACTGGGAGCAATCACTGGGGGGAGGGGAATACTGGGGTCTTGGGGGGGACGGTCTCCCAAGGACTTGGGCAACCCCTCTTACTTCATATTGTGTGCGTTTGTATCTGTCTATTTCTGCAGGTGGTGAGGGCCACAAACTCACAGCTGCTGAACTGGATTGTCCGCCTCGGAGACCTAGACACCATCATGGCCGGTTTTGCAGGGCTGGGATTCCCAAACTGCGGAGGAGCGCTCGATGGAATACACATTCCCATCCGTGAACCACCCCATCGAGCTGCCCGGTATATCAACAGAAAAGGGTACTTTTCCATCGTGCTGCAGGCCCTGGTTGACCACCGTGGAGTATTTACGGACCTTTGTGTGGGGTGGTCAGGCCGGGCACATGATGCTCGGATCTTCTGCAATTTGCACCTGTACGAAAGGCTGCAGACAAGAACCTTCTTCCCCCAGTGAACCTTTTCTATTGGGGACGTAGAGATGCTGGTCTGCATTTGGCCGCGCATTTGGCCAGCTGAAGGGAAGGTTTAGGTGTCAGCTAACTCGCCTTGACATGGGGGAACACAATATCTCAGAGGTGGTGGCAGCATGTTGCATCCTCCACAACCTGGTGGAGAGCAAAGGGGAGGCCTTCCTTTCAGGTTGGGGGCCAATGGCTGAAGTGGAGGGGAGGCGGTTTGTGCAGCCTCAGACAGTTGCCGTTCGCCAAGCCCATCAGGTGGGGGTTTGCATCTGGGAGGCTCTGCATGAGCGCTTCTCAGCTGGAGCCCAATGACTCCCCAAGGTATCCCCAATGGGGCCTGTGCACCTGGGCCCCCCGTCCCAAAACCTTCCCTCCCATAATCCATCCCTGCATCAGCCTCCGAGCAGTTGAAACACACACATTATGTTAAATATGAAAAATATCATGTTTATTAACAAGTAAAGTTAGAATTAGGAACTGTTATAAAACATAGTATTATTCAACAACTGTTAAAAATAAACTTTTTTTGGAACTATTAACCTGTGTTTATAACTGTGGTGGGAGGGAGGGCAGACAACTTAAGGGTCATGGTGGTATTGCCTAGTCCGCAAGGCTTTGCCACCTCTTGTCCGTGGACCCTGCCGTCCTCGGGCTTGATTTGGGGCTGAAGATGAGTCTGCTCTAGCGGGAGGGGAGGGGGGCCAGGGCTGGAGGGGTGGCAGGGGCTGAGGGAGAGGAAGGGGGGCCAGAGGGGACTGGAGCTGGATGGGCAGGAGGAGGAGTCCCCAGGGGGAGAGGACCTGGCACAGCCAGGGCCTCCTGGACGGTGGCACACATTGCGCTCCACTGCGGGAGGAAGTCCTCAAGCAGGCGAGTATGCCAGCGAGCCTCCTCCCTGGTTCTTTCGGCCATGGTCTCCTGCATTTTGGCCACGGTCCCCTCAATGTTCTCCATCACCTCCACATGCCCCTGCAAGAGGTCATTATAGGCCCTCCAATGCCTACGGGTGCTGTGGGACCGGGTGGGTGGTGGCACAGGTGTCGCTCGGCAGTCAGCAGCAGTAGGTCCAGCTGTGGAGGAGAAGAGGGAGAACCGATCAGGGTTAAGAATTCACACACAAGTCCTTACAAGAAGGGATGGGAATGTTGTTACCGGTAGACCACGGGCTCCTGTGACTTACAGTATCATACTACTGGGAGCAATCACTGGGGGGAGGGGAATACTGGGGTCTTGGGGGGGACGGTCTCCCAAGGACTTGGGCAACCCCTCTTACTTCATATTGTGTGCGTTTGTATCTGTCTATTTCTGCAGGTGGTGAGGGCCACAAACTCACAGCTGCTGAACTGGATTGTCCGCCTCGGAGACCTAGACACCATCATGGCCGGTTGTGCAGGGCTGGGATTTCCAAACTCCAGAGGAGCGCTCGATAGAATTCACATTCCCATCCGTGCACAACCCCATCGAGCTGCCCGGTATATCAACAGAAAAGGGTACTTTTCCATCGTGCTGCAGGCCCTGGTTGACCACCGTGGAGTATTTACGGACCTTTGTGTGGGGTGGTCAGGCCGGGCACATGATGCTCGGATCTTCTGCAATTTGCACCTGTACGAAAGGCTGCAGACAAGAACCTTCTTCCCCCAGTGAACCTTTTCTATTGGGGACGTAGAGATGCTGGTCTGCATTTGGCCGCGCATTTGGCCAGCTGAAGGGAAGGTTTAGGTGTCAGCTAACTCGCCTTGACATGGGGGAACACAATATCTCAGAGGTGGTGGCAGCATGTTGCATCCTCCACAACCTGGTGGAGAGCAAAGGGGAGGCCTTCCTTTCAGGTTGGGGGCCAATGGCTGAAGTGGAGGGGAGGCGGTTTGTGCAGCCTCAGACAGTTGCCGTTCGCCAAGCCCATCAGGTGGGGGTTTGCATCTGGGAGGCTCTGCATGAGCGCTTCTCAGCTGGAGCCCAATGACTCCCCAAGGTATCCCCAATGGGGCCTGTGCACCTGGGCCCCCCGTCCCAAAACCTTCCCTCCCATAATCCATCCCTGCATCAGCCTCCGAGCAGTTGAAACACACACATTATGTTAAATATGAAAAATATCATGTTTATTAACAAGTAAAGTTAGAATTAGGAACTGTTATAAAACATAGTATTATTCAACAACTGTTAAAAATAAACTTTTTTTGGAACTATTAACCTGTGTTTATAACTGTGGTGGGAGGGAGGGCAGACAACTTAAGGGTCATGGTGGTATTGCCTAGTCCGCAAGGCTTTGCCACCTCTTGTCCGTGGACCCTGCCGTCCTCGGGCTTGATTTGGGGCTGAAGATGAGTCTGCTCTAGCGGGAGGGGAGGGGGGCCAGGGCTGGAGGGGTGGCAGGGGCTGAGGGAGAGGAAGGGGGGCCAGAGGGGACTGGAGCTGGATGGGCAGGAGGAGGAGTCCCCAGGGGGAGAGGACCTGGCACAGCCAGGGCCTCCTGGACGGTGGCACACATTGCGCTCCACTGCGGGAGGAAGTCCTCAAGCAGGCGAGTATGCCAGCGAGCCTCCTCCCTGGTTCTTTCGGCCATGGTCTCCTGCATTTTGGCCACGGTCCCCTCAATGTTCTCCATCACCTCCACATGCCCCTGCAAGAGGTCATTATAGGCCCTCCAATGCCTACGGGTGCTGTGGGACCGGGTGGGTGGTGGCACAGGTGTCGCTCGGCAGTCAGCAGCAGTAGGTCCAGCTGTGGAGGAGAAGAGGGAGAACCGATCAGGGTTAAGAATTCACACACAAGTCCTTACAAGAAGGGATGGGAATGTTGTTACCGGTAGACCACGTCTGGCGCTGCCAGCCGCCTCGGCTGCATAGGGGACCCGTTGTGGCTAGGACAATGTCCACCTCCACCCCCTACATCCTCCTCCCCCTCCTCTGTGGCCGTCCAGTCTAGATCAGTGTTCAGCCACAGTAGGACAGGGGCCTGCTGTACCTTGGGTCTCCCATGCCCCCCACCCACATACCCACCACCTGCCCGCCTGCTTGTACATGCACAGAGAGATGCAAGCTGTCCAGGAGGGAGGACCAAGATGTGAACACTGCTCTGCGTCCTCTCTGCTCCCACCTCCCCTGTGCTGCGTCTGTGACCCTGCCTGCACTCACCTGAAGTTCCTTCTCCAGCGTCAGAGGGTGCCTGCGAGGCTTCCTGCATCTCTGGGACAGGCTGCAGAGTCAGGGTGTCCTCCGTCTGCTCCTCCTCCTCCTCCTCCTCCCCTACATCCTCCTCCCCCCCCCCACCATGGCCATACAGGCCAGATCAGTGTGCAGCCACAGTAGGACAGGGGCCTGCAGCACCTTGGGTCTCCCATGGCCCCCACCCACATACCCACCACCTGCCCGCCTGCTTGTACATGCAGAGAGAGATGCAAGCTGTCCAGGAGGACCAAGACGTGAACATTGCTCTGCAGCCTCTCTGCTCCCACCTACCCTGTTCTGTGTCTGTGACCCTGACTGCACTCACCTGATGTTCCTTCACCAGCGTTGGAGGATGCCTGCGAGGCTTCCTGGGTCTCTGGGACAGGCTGCAGAGACAGGGTCAGGGTGTCCTCCGTCTGCTCCTCCTCCTCCTCCACATCTTCCCTGGGGACCTCCTGCCAGTTCTGCTGCACCGGTGTGTGCAACCCTGTCTGCATGAGCACTGGTGCAGACATAGGTTCCTGGCCTCCCAGGATGCAGTCCAGCTCATTATAATAGGCGCAGTGAGCTGAGGCTGCACCTGATGCTGAGCTCTGCTCTCGGGCCTTCACGTATCCCTGCCGAAGCTCTTTGACTTTCGCTCGGACTTGTTGCAGTGTCCTGGGGTGGTGTCCTTTATCGGACAGCCCCTGAGCCATGCGGCCATAGATGTTGGTGTTCCTGCACCGGGTGTGCAGGGCCTGGACCGCTTCCTCCTCCCCTCACAGTTCGAGCAATGTCAGGACCTCTGGCCCTGGCCAGGCTGGGGCTCTCTTATTCTTGGCTGTGGGCACCAGGACTGGCTCCCTTGAAGGTCCTTGGAGCTCTGGAGCTGCACACATGGCCACATGCAGGTGAAGCTGGGAGAGCTCTGTGCTGACGGGCTTCCTCTGTAACCAGCTTTCCTGTCACAATGCCTGCCAGAGATGTCTGTGCCTTTAAAACATGGCTACAGACAGGAACAAGAAGAGGTTTTTCCTGAAGAAGGACGGTCCAGCAGGGGGTAAGGCTAGATATGCAAACCCTTTCTGAGTTAAGAGTATTATCCTGAGCTTATTAGGGAACTGCAAACAGCACTGAAACAAAATAATCATAAACTAAGCTGTCATTTCAACTAAATGGAAGATATGAGATTAGAACAGCTTCCTTAACTGCTGCATTCAAGTCACAGGTATGATGGGTGAATATGGAAAATACAGCACTGGCTAGAAATGCCCACATCTTCTGAATGTCTACAGGCTTTCCCTTCCATATGTAAAACAGAGAATACCAACCAACCAACCAGGGATGTAAACCAATTAAAGAGCAGCGTGGGTGGGCTGGGCTGGAGCAGCCTCCGGCTCACTGCACTGTAACAGCAGCTCCATGCCTGTGGGATCCTGGTTAAGCGGTTAACCAGTTAACCGTAACATGTAACTGGTTAATTAAACCAGATTTTACATCCCTGCCATCCAAGAATATATTATGCTTTTCATTCACTGTTGAAGTCTCTCAGAAGAGCATACAGCCAAAGTTTTGTAAGTGTTCTAGGTCTTACACCGGGGTGGCCGACCTGAGGCTCGTCAGCCAGATGCAGCTCGTGAGCAAAAAAACTGCGGCTCCTAAGCAGCCACTATATGGCCAGGCCCGCTGTGAGCCGCATTTCTGCTCATGCTCACAGCCCGTACTGTTGTGTTCATGGCCCCCAGCATCCTGCGTCTCATCCTGTACGTGCAGGATGTGATGTCCTGTATGTGTGGCAGCGGCAGTGGCCTTTGCAGGCGGCGTGGGCTCAAGAAGCAGAGGCAGGCAGAAGCGGCAGCGGAGGCAGGCAGAAGTAGCAGCAGAGAAGCGCCAGTGAAGGCAGGCAAAAGCAGCAGCAGAGAAGCACCAGGAGAGGCAGGCAGAAGCAGCGGCGGAGAAGCGCCGGCAGCGGAGGTAGAAGCAGCGGTGATGGCTCTTGGTTCGGCGGCCTTAGGTAAGGTGGGTTGATTGCTGGCGGGGAGGGGGGGGGAGGAGGGGCTTGGATTTTGGTTGCTGGCAGGGGAGGGAGGGGAGAGGGGGGAGGACTTGTGTTTTGGTACCTGGGGAAGGGAAGGGGTAAGGGGCCTTGTGTTTTGGTGCCTGGTTCTGGGGAGTGGGAAGGGGCCTTATGTTTTGGTTCCTGGGGAAGGGGAGGTGCAAATTCCACTAACCCTGGAACTCAGAACAGTTAATTTGATCTGGGACAGAGTGCCAGGGGAGTGAGGTGTTTCAGTTGGGGACACATTACTAAGGCTTGGGGAGGGGTTTTTTGTGCACAAAATATGTCAATATATCCAGTAAAGATAGATTAAAACAAATAAGTGGCTTCCTGCAGCTCTATGTGTTGTGTGTGTTTTTTTGGGTTTTTTGTTTTGCTTTGCCCAACAACTTGATCCCCGGCTCTTCACGCTGTCTCCACTGTTATTGTGGCTCTTCGTCTGAACGGGTTGGCCACCCCTGATTTACACAGTCTACCTGGAGGTTCTTAATACATTTAAAAAGCAGACATGCAGCAGGGAGACTGGGAATCAGAGGATTCACAGCTTGTACCCGGTTCCCCTGCTATGCCTTTGCCTTTTAAGAGCCGAATACATTTAAAAGGTAGAGCTGCAGTGGGGTTAGTTCCAGGGCTGGAAGCTAATCCCACTGCGGCTCTGAAGTTTCCCCCCCCCTTATTGACTAATAGAGTAGCCAATGGAAATTACGTCGATTACTTGATGCGCTGATTACCCACAGCTTAACATCCCTAATAAAAAGCGTTATTTACTCCTTCACATAACACAAGAAGCAGGGGTCAAATGAATGAAATTAGTAGGCAACCGATTTAAAAACCAACAGCAGAAGGTACTTTTTTCCCCATTAAGCACAATGAATCAGTGGAACTCGTTGCAATGGGATGTTGTAAAGGCCAAAAGTATGACAGGGGTTCAAAAAAATTAGTTAAATTCATGAGTGGCTATTAGCCATATCTAGGAATGTAATGGATGACAGGCGATAGATCACTGGATATATTATTCTATTTATTCCTGGTGAAACATCTGGCACTGGCCATAGTCAGAAGACAGGACATTGTGTTAGATGGAGACTGGTCTGACCCAGCACGGCCACGCTTACATTCTTAACTAAAAGCTGGGACATTCTTAACTAAAAGCTGGGACCAGACAATGAAAAAACTACTGTTCAATGTGCACCTGCCATTTAAGAAAATAGAACTTTATACACGGATGTAAGAAAATGACAATAGTTTAATTATATAAATCAATGATAAATAATCAGCTGGAATACTGTATTCAGGTCTCATCATCCTATCTCAAACAGATATAACTACAGACTAAAATGAGGTTCACACATAAGCAAAGAAAATAGGAAAAGGCATGGAGAGACTGCCATGTGATAAGACAATGAAAAGATCAAGGCTATTTTCTTTAAACAGAGCTGAATAGAGATAAAATATAAAGCATGATATACAGAAGGTACAACAGGTACTCCTATTTCCTCACTCTCAGAATACAAGGACAAGGAAAAGAAAGAACATAAGAATGGCCACACTGGGTCAGACCAAAGGTCCATCTAACCTAGTAACCTGTCTGCTGACAGTAGCCAATGACAGATGCCCCAGAGGGAGTAAACACTACAGGTAATCATCACATGACCCCTCTCCTGTCATCGATTTCCAGACAAACAGAGCCTAAGGACACCGTTCCTACCCATCCTGGCTAATACCCATTGATGGACCTAACCTCCATTAATGTATCTAGCTCTTTTCTGAACTCTGTTAAAGTCCTAGTTTTCACAATATCCTCTGGCAAGGAGCTCCACAGGCTGACTGTGCACTGTGTGAAGAAAAACTTCCTTTTGTTTGTTTTAAACCTGCTACCTATTAATTTCATTAGGTGACCCCCAGGTATGAGGAAATTGAAAGACAACTCAATTTAAAAATGATAAAAGGAAATACTTCACTAAACAATTCACAATTAGTCAGTGAAACTCATTAACCCAAAGCTTAATAGGATTCAAAACAGTTATACACTTACGCAAATAGAGGACATTCTCAATTAAATCAAACAGGACTTTCCTGAATTATAAGGCATCATTCTTCAGCAAACAACCCTCCCCATGGATAGGAAGATATCTATTGCAGGAAATCTAGCACTTTCTTCTGAGGCCTCCGGTATTGACTGTCAAGACAGACTAGGCACTAGATGGTCCATGGCTCTGGTGTATCAATATCTACCCAGGAGAGGTATTGCTTGCCACATGCAAATTAATCATTTTTGTGACAGGAGTAGTGCTCTTCAACCACTGAAGAGAAGAAAAAGTTTTCTTGGTGGCTCCGCCCTTCAAGGAAACTGACAAGACCGGACCACGCTCAGCTGAACGGCATGAGCCAGCAGTCACACATGAGCGGTCTAGTAGGGCTACTGCTACCAAAAATCCTCCAGTTTGCGGCACCGGGAGAAGCCCAGCACCTTGAGTGGAACACCCTCAGGGACACTACTCAACGAAGAATACCTTTTATTGGACCACCCTGTCTCTCTAATTTAGTGATCCCCAAGCTTTCAGTCACATCTCGCCACCAGTAATGGTGTCTCTCCACGCCCCTACTGGGAGTCACAGTCACAAGTCGGGGGCCGAGGCCACGAGTGGGAGCCGAAGCCAGAACAGTCAGAGCCAGAGTAGAATTGGGGGGGAGGAAGGGAGAGTGCTCCATCTCTGCTCTCCCACAACGTTTGGGAACCACTGTTCCAATGATTAACACCACTTAGCAGTAGCATAGTTCTTTTAATCTTCAAAGCACTTGAAAACCATTAACTAATGCTGGCTGGAAGAAGGATGCCAGAGTGAGTACACAAACTATTAGGAAAGGAGATAACTTTCTAATAAATAAATGAAGGTGACTGCATTTCCCAATGCAATCCAGGATGAAGGTGAACCAATAATGAAGAATTAAACAGAAGAAAACACCCTTTCCCTCCAGCATTTCCCTGCTATTTGTTTCTGTTAAAAAGAAAAGAAAATTCCAGGCTGTGTGACTTCACTATTTCAAACATCCACTGAGGAACAGTAACCACTTTTCTTTGGGGCCAGGCCTACACTACAGAGAAGATCAAAGCAGCTGCAGTTGATATTCCAGGGTTCGAATTAGTGGGTCTAGTGAAGACACGCTATTTCGAACTGAGAAAGCACTCCCGTTGATGCCGGTAAGAACATAAGAACATAAAAACGGCCATACTGGGTCAGATCAACAGTCCATCCTTCCCAGTATCCTGTCTGCCGACAGTGGCCAATACCAGGTGCTCCAGAGGGAGTCCTGCAGGTAGTGCTGCTTCTACGAGAAGGGAAGTCAAAGTAAGAGTGTGCTCCCTTTGACTTCCTACAGGATGGACAGAGCCAAAATTTGAGTTAAGATACTTTGACTTAAGCTTTGCAATTAATGTAGCTGAAGTTGTATATCTTCATTCAAACTTATCCCCTAGTGTAGACACACCTAAGTACAATCATCACTATATCCCTGTGACTGATATATCTACAGATCATCTCTTGCACTTCAATATATATATGGAGCTATACCTATTTCATGGAACTGAAAGGGATCTTGAGAGGTTGAGTCCAGCCCCCTGCTCTCCAGGCAGGACCAAGTACCACTCCTGACAGATTTGCCCCAGATCCCTAAATGGCCCCCTCAAGGACTGAGCTCACAACCCTGGGTTTAGCATGCCAATACTCAAACCATCGAGCTCCGCCCCCCCCTCCAAGGATCAGTTTATTCAGCTTCAGAATATCATCATCCTGGCTCATCCTCCCCTGACTGCAACAAAAACTCACTCTTAGATTGGTTTAATTCTTTGGCTTGTGCCATTGCAACAGGTGAGGAGCATCCCAGAAAATTATATTATCACCCTTCTGGATAGTCAAGCAAACACCCAAATAACTACTTTATGCACAATGTAGGTAAAATATAAAAAGATTTCTAATGTTGTATAGAATTACAGCTTGCTTTAAACAAATTAATTAGCCAGCAAGTTTGGAGATAATTAGAAACACACATTAGAAAAGTTCTGCAGTACAATTACTAACATTTTACATGAAGCAGAATAGCTGAAGTTTAATTGACAGGGTGCAGGTACAAAAATGGATATGGGTTTAGGCACATGCTGACAGATCAGTTACATGAGAAGTTTAAATAAAAGTTTCCAAGCTGATTTACATTTCCCCTAAGGATTTGAAAATATTTCAATGAGAATTCATAATTTGTAATAAAAGGATATATATCTCACTGCTTATATATTTAGGCAGGAATATGGAGGCATACTAAGACAAAAAAAAGTCTATAGCTAGGATTTACAAAGCCCTGAACTGCCCAATAATCACCACATTATAAAACTACCTTTACATTTTAAAGACATCAACTGTTTCCCAGAAACAGTCTTTCCGAAAAAGATATCTCATGAATTCTCTAAAGATGAATCAGTGCAGACTTTGCCAGCTGCTGTAGGAGCAATTATTCATACTGGACTATCTTTGCTAAATGTGATACATTCTTGTACAACAAGAGAGAACAACAAAATCAAACACAAGAAAC